GAGACTGAAATGCCGACAACATATGGTGCGAGCGGCGTCGAAAGGACTAGAGGCAGCCAATGAAGTGAAGCTGCAACGGCGCGACAACTGTTCACGGTCACCTATGCTTCTGGATGCATGCCTGTAAATAACAAGGACCCGTAAATGGCGATCAGAGGACAGGCGCTCAAGCGATTGTTGGGAATTTTCTGACAGTGGCTACAAGCGTCGCTGAAGCGGAGGCCCACATAGCCAGCGTGCAGGAGCGGTTCTTGCGGGGAGCAATTAAGCTATGGATTGATCTTCATACTCTTCCAGACACGAATCCGCTGCGACGAGTCACCGCGAGAATTCAGAAGTTTTATCCTAGTCGGCGATCACCATCTCATCAGGTCGTTTGTCGACTCAATGATATCCCGGTTGACGATCAAACCCTTCATACTGGCTCCATGGGACCAACGTGCCCAGATCGTGGCCGACAAAATATCATGTGGGCAGGTCGCTGCTGGTTGGAGTGTGCGCTGCAGTAAATAGCTCAGCCCGTAGTGGGGTGGTCAGTGTCGGAGGAGCAATGCAATTGCCACATTCGGAGCAAGGGGGACCGAAACTGGAGGCCTTCTTTACCCTTGGCTTCAGAACGGGACAGAGCCCTGACTTTGGAGAGCTAGCACCACAATGCTGCCTGCACCCGATGCTTGATGGAGCTGTATTTAAACACGATACAAGCCACTGTGGCTGAAATCACGAAAGCTGCGCCAGCCCTTTTGGGACTGCTCGTCTCGGATGCTGCAGTCCAGTGATCGAGCCATAATGGAATCACATCCCCAAGAGCTCCTTTTTTTTCCGGTTTCTTGAAATGTGAAAATAAACGCACATATGAGTTCTATGTTCACGCTGTATTATTTCCTTCTCTTAATCCAGAAAGAGGATGTCTCTCGGCGACTATGCTGACACTGGCAAGCAAACCCGCCCTTGCTCGTGATTCGATGACACTGTGAAGACAAACGTCAATACGCTTGTGTATGTTCAAGTGTGGTTGGCCCCGTGTGGAATGGCGGAAGCTTGAATAGCCCCTTGGACGCGGCGTGATGGGCCCGTGACGCGTGCAGCAATCGCGCTATGACGCGAAATTTTCAAGTGCTGTATTGGACCTGGAAGCCTTGCTACGTGCCTTGGGACCCAAGCCCAAGTTCATGCTAGACGTCTAAGGTACTAGCGAAGACGTAGCGAACTATGAAACGAATCTAAATGAAAACACCACAAGGTGGCCATTGAAACCCTCTCAACAATTAAATTATGACGATTAGCATCGTGGTGTATGTTACAAGCGCCGTGTCCCAGCCCATGGTGCTGGTGAGTGCCAGCGATGGATTAGATGGCAGGCACTACTGTAATTTGTTCCCCGGCTTAGTCCAGTGAGAAGGCGCCGCTCGTGGAGGATGGATGTAATGCTGGACGCTGGGGTCAAGGACAAAGCCTTACGGTCTGAGTGAGTCATGATGGCCCCGTCTAAGAGCATGTCCGGATTGTGTACCTTGGTGAGTTAATTGCTCATGATCAGCGCATTCATAGTGCTACAATACAAGTCTTCTTATATAATACGGTACAGTATGTATGTATATTATTAAGAACTATCCCTTGGCCTGTGCAGATTAGTGAGTTTTTGTTTAGACAGGCAAATTTAACCCTATTCTATTTCCGAGTCCCTAGCCCTGAGCCAGAACAAGTAACGTGGATTTACCCGCCATTCATCATAGCACACATACTCGTTATAAGACAGAGCATCATCCAACCACCGCTTTTTATAATGCCATGGCTAAGTTTTGTTGTAGCGACGTTAGAAGACTTGAGTGATCACAATATGGTTCCTGGTATGAGACTTACAACGCGTATGCCTCGTAGCCTTTCATCGATAAATTTAGCGTCGCGCCAATCAACTTCCACATCAGCGCGTGGCCCATAGCTACCTATGCCCAAAGTACTATGACACTTTTCTCCCAGTCGTTTCTTCGGGTCGAATTTTGGATCCGCGTCCTCGTAATTACAGTGGAGCATTTTACCGAGAGCGACTTCACATAATAATAGCAGTGCATGCCCGTCGGAATCACATGTGCCACAGTATTCAGTAGCGAACGACGCTATGTCTGTGAAATATATGCCATTGCCAAATTTCCCCTTTAAGACCGTCATATCTGAGTGCGGAACTCGTATACCTTGGCTTAAAATGCCGGGAACTGTGATGCACCTAGTCCCATGCCAAAGGAGACGACGATTTTCGACATGGCGGTTGTCGATTTCGTCCTTTTTCTTTAGGCGAAATATCTCCTTAACTTTATAAAGATCAGGGGGGTAAATCTTGTCGATGGACCGATTATAGAGTTGAAGAAGAGAGTTATATTCCGCGCCTTTAGCAGTACTTTGAGTGCTTTGAGTACTTAGGTTTCCGATCTCCATACCTAGTTTATCATATTGCCAGTCCAGAAGATTCTCCTTCTCTAAAACGCTACAGGGCGGCATAGAGGGAGTAGCTCTTATTCCTTGGATGAGTTGAAGAAGCCGAACTTCTTTTCGGAACGAGGGGACATCGAACCCAAGTCGCACCCTGCCTACGACCTTGTGGGGAATCATACAGCAGTACTTCTCGCGGAGCTGTTTTATCTCTTTTCTCTCCACCTTCATCTTGGTCTCCGACTCCTCCCTCTCTGCTTCCTCCCTCTCTAACTTGTCCAACTCCTTCAGATGGTCACGCCAATCCTTAAGAATCTTAGAACTCTCCCTAAGGGTATGGTCAGTTAGCTGATGCACTGGCAGCATCCTCCAGTTGTAACCATATTCATCCAGTGAAGTCTCAACTAGGTCTTCGTCAAATACAAGCCGGAGAAGGTCTTGGACTGGCGCCGATAAGCCCCGCGTCTGTGGGGGGGGAATATGAAAAATCCAAGGACGCAGTGTTGTGGCTTTACTTCTATCACTCCAATTGAGCCTCGTCTTGTCGTAAAACTTTTTCTTAAACACTGCGACTGCCTCTTCCTCCGATGCTGCCACGACAGGAATGCCGCTAACCCTCGAAATTCGCCCAAGCCAGCCCCATTGGGTGAGAAGTTGAAACTGATGCCCCAAGCTTTGAATCTACATATAGGCAATGTCAGCTCCTCCTCACTGTCTGGTGAGATCGTGCAAGTGTACCTTCATATTATATACCCTCATTCTATCCTGGCCATTGCGCTTTCTAGCCTGTTGTATTGTAACTTCATATTCTTTGCCAGAATGCCGGACATTCCTGACTTTCCCGGTACCAGTCTTTTGCTCTGCAATCGGGCGTGCCATCGAGCTGCCAGTCTTGGGTGCCGCGTCAGGGAACCAGCAATGTTTAGAGTCTTCGCCACACAAAAGCTTGCCTTGAGCCGCACAGTCTAACAGCCACTCGAGTTTTTTAAACTTCGACTTTTCAACAAGTTGAAATCTGTCGTCCAAATGGTAATACCATGACTGTGTGAGAATGACATGGGTCGTATTCCCCTGCAGTGATTTGGTCATTTTCCATTGGTATTGGTTCATCGTCCTCTGGCATTGCTTGATTATCTTTTCTATGTCCTTTCTAGTGTAGTTAGGCCAGCAGCCAAACACAGTAACAACCACTCGCGGTTTTTTTGTCGGCTCACTTCGAGGGCCCTGACGAGGATGCGGCATAATTCCAACCAACGGATGCACGTCGACCAAATATCCCACACAGCATAATATAAGCTGGCGAAGAATCTAAATACGGCCTAATGGCAAATCCACGGGGCAATTCTCTTTCGATGTATGAGCTAATTTCGATGCAATAGTACTAATACAGCATGTATGCTGGAGATTACCGGTACATTTCTGATCACGCACAATGCTTTTTTCGGTGCTCTATTTGCAACTGCCAACAATTTGGTTACCATTGGCCGTCAAAAGTACAAGCTCTTGGCAGATACATTTCTGATCTTGTTTACATTTTCCCTAGTTAGTCATTGGTCCACCAAGAAGTCTGAACGGGAAGTGGCGGCGTGGTTCATCGTCGGGCTTGGTCATGGTTTAACGGCATTGTCTTATGGTCCTTTATTAAGTGCCTTGGCATGTCAAAGAATGAAGTCGATCAACTCTGCGCGGAGGTTTTCGAGAGATGTGCTCACTACAATATTAGTATAATACAAACGTCGCTGCAAATTGTGAGTTAAACGTTCTTGGCTTTGAGGCTTTGTCTAATGCGCAACAAGATATATTTGGACAGCCCAGCGGACCTTATAACCCCTTGCCACTTGTATGTACTGCCCAGCGGACCTTATAACCCCTTTCCACTTGTAGGTACATAATCTTTTGTCTTTTAGTATCTATTAATGGCCCCTCCTTCACCATGGCTATGCCTTTGGCTGCTGCGTGGTAACCCCATTGTGCTACAGAGACTGGTTGTTGTGGCATTTAAAGATCAGAACTTCGACGAAGATACCAAGGAGGCTAAAACAAGAAATGCTCCCATTGCGAGGTTGCGCAATTGTTTTCGGGTCATCGCGACCTAATTTGACGATTACAAATGTGAAAATTTTCATCGTGCCCGCCGTTTGTATTTATACTCGCATACAGGCTTCAAGTTGTTACAATGCACCCTGGGCAGAACGTTTCCGCAAGTTGTTACAATGCACCCTGGGCAGAACGCTTCCCCGAATTCGGTTTTCAGTAACTAGCCAGTTTATATTTAGTACTGCAAACATGACTTCGGTTCCTTGCTGTGGTTCAGTACTGTGTCCAACACTTCCCCAACGTACAAATACCGCGTGGTAACTAATCTAGCTCTGCTTCATGCCAACAACAACTTCCAGAATGGCAGATAGCAATGCGCCCGGAAATCCACCAGAAAATTCGGAACGCCAGAGTGGGGACCCTATTCAGGCTGAGGCTGATATCATGCGGATGATCAATTCAATGTCTGAAGAAGAGATATATTCCTCCGTTACAGCGGTTCCGTGGACGTCATCACACGCCAGGAACTTCATACTCTCCCTGTCCGCAACATGGGACCGACTTACCGCGTCGGATGCGGATGCGACCTCCTTTAAGAAGCTGGCTAGCTTATGGGCAACCGTTCTTG